CCCCCCCCCCCCAACCCCCCCCCCCCCACACACACCCTTCCAATAGTTTAAGTGGCCTCACTGCCTCTAGAATTATAGTCTCAGCACTGTGCTTCCTGGGACTGAGGGTCCCAGAGCCCAATTATTTGATTTCGTCTTTCAGCCTCCTCGCGGGCTTGGGCTCCACAGAGGCCCACACCACAGCGTGTGACTGGCTGAGTGGCCACTAAGAAGCTTCCTTTCTTTAATTAAATAAACAACTCCCCTAAGGAAGCCACAACGCCAAAGGAGTGCTTGGGTTTTGGATGGAAATAGGAGGAACTGGTCCCGCTCAAAGCCTCTGCCGCCCAGCCCTCAGGAAATAACAAGGTGCACCCTCAGGGGCTTGTGCTATTAGCCCTGTGTCTGAAACCAACTTGCTCGGTGTTTGTAGGAGAGAATCCCAAATCCTTACATCAAGTCCAGACTGTGGGTCAGAAAAGGGGCTCCAAGAGGGAGGGAGGGAAGAAAGCGGCTGGCAAACAAGGGCAGCGGTGAGAGCGGACGTGGTGTCAGGTGCTTCTGTATCTGCAGCTCCTGGCCTGTAGTCATCCTGTTGTCAATCCCTGTTCTCGCTTTGTCGCTGCCCTGGAGCTGTGAGCTCCTGGAGAGCAGGACTGTTGGGTCTGACTCCGCTCGCTGATCTCCAGCACAGGATCCATTGTTCGCACCCAGGAAAGGCTTGTGGGTTGAAAGGCAAGAGGAAGTGAGGTCAAGCACTAGGCGAGGCGCTGAGAGGGGAACACGTGGCAACGGCTAAGTCCCTGCCCCAGATGCAGAGCCACTTGCCAGGGAGACAAACAAGTTGCTGACGGGTCTTTGATTTTCCCATAAGGATGGAGAATGACGTATGTATGGGGGGCAGGGAGCCGCAAATATTTTTAAGCTTCAATTTTAATTTTTTCCTTATTGTGAGAAAGATCATAGTTACAGGAATGCATACAAGTCTATGTACTGTTTGAAGAATAATAAATGGACACCTGTAGTCACCACCGAGGTCATGAGATAAAGTCCTGGAAGCTCCCCACGTGCCTCCCGATCACATCTCCGTCCTCTTCCCAAAAAGTCATCACAAGCCTGACCTTTCTGATAGCCATGTCCTTGCTTTTGATCATTTTATCACCTATGTATAGATCCCTCACCAATGTCACCTAGCTTTGCTTGTTTTTAACGTAACGTAAATTGAATCACACAGTATGCCTATGCTTTGGAGACTTGCTTCTTTCCCGCAACTTTGCCTGATTTAATCCATGTTTTTACATGTTTTCTCATTTCCGTAGTATTGCACTATATGACTATGCCACACACTTTTTTTTTAACTTTATGAAGATGGAACATTTTCTTTTACACATAGAGCTAAGACTTCACATCAAATGTATTTAGGACGTCACTACCTGGTTTCCTCGGGCACCTTCGCTTGTCTAAAACTCACCTGCTCGTCTGTTCCCCTGGCACTTGCTGCTTCTCCTGTGTGCCTCTCGTGTAGCGGAACCACCTGGTGCTCAAGCCAGAAACGCGGGTGTCCCTCTGAGTCTTTCTCCGTCAGGCCCCCCAGTATCCAGGCACCAGGTCTGTGACGGCCTCCTTTCCATTCCTCGGGCTGCCTCCTCTCCCTCCTGCTGCCTGCGTTAAAGCAGGAGTTTATGCCGCGACGCATGTATCCATCCACCGCCAATGGACTTTTGCAATTTTTCCAGTCGGGCTGTTACAAACAGTGATTCTATAAACATTTGTTGTATCTATTTTCAGGGGTAGCCCAATGTTTTGTTTTGAGAACTCATGCTACCACTGGAATCAGTGAAGTCCCTAGTGTTGTGAAATAGAAACTAGTTTGCCCAAACAAGATAGACCAGAGTTTTAGAAAATCATTGTTTCTCGAAGTGACCCACATCAGTATCATCTACAGAATCTGTTAAATGTGCCGTTTAGAAGACCCAGCCCACACACCTACCAAATGGGAGCTTCTGGAGATGAAGCCCCAAAAAGTTGCATTAAGCAAGCTTGCTACCCCCTCCTCCCTTCCCATGCGTCTTACATGGATACCCAAGCCTCTACTTTCCATGGATGTGACATATGTGATGGGACAAATCTCAGCGTTTGGCATGTTAGGAACTTTTGAGAGAGAGGAAGGGGTAGTGTGCCTTCCTGCCCAGGAAATCGGCTCCCTCCCGACTCCCTGCTGTAGGTCCCAGCTTCGGGTTTACAGCCCTCCCCCTCATTTTGCTGCAGGGCCCTCACCTCTGCCCTATTCCTTCCCACCCTGCTCCAGAACACTCACAAGTCTCGCTTTAGCTAACTGCATAGTCTTTCCATGACCCTTCAAAATACCTGACCTAAACAGGGAACCTAGTTTTTGTTGCTGTTGTTTTAAATAGACTTTATTTTTTAGAGCAGTCTTAGGTTCACAGCAAAACTGAGCATCGAGTTTTCATATACCCGTCTCCAAACACGCACAACCTCTCCCACATCAACATCTCCCATAAGAGTTGTACATTTGTTTGAACATCAACCTATCATAATCACAGAAAGTCCAGCTTCTGTGGGTCTTGACAAATGTATGACAGGTGTCCACCATTGCAAGAGAGGTTTTACTACCATAAAAATCCTGTTAAACCCATTCTTTCCACTCCCCCCGCCCCCCACACCTGATCTTTTTACTGTCTCCATGGTTTTCCTTTTCCCAGAATGTCATTTAGTGTGTAGCCTTTGCAGATTGGCTTCTTTCAGCCAGCATTTAAGTTTCCTTCATCTTTCCATGGCTTAATAATCTCATTTCTTTGAGCACTAAATAATATTCTCTTGTCTGGATGCTTGTCCAACTAATGCAGGGCATCTTGGTTGCATCCAAGCTTTGGCAATTATGAAGAAAGCTCTTATAAACATCCGTACGCAGGTTGTGTGGGCGTGTTTCCAGCTCCTTTGGGTAAATGCCAAGGAGTGCAATTCCTGGATCAGAGTAAGAGTTTAATTTTGTAAGAACGTGCCCAACTGCCTTCTTAAGTGGCTATCATTTTGTGCGCCCGTCAGCAAAGAATGGATGCTCCTATTGCTCCGCATCCTCACCAGCATTTGGTACTGTCAGTTCTTTGTATTTTGGCTGTTTTAATAGGTGTGGAGGGGCATCACATTGCTGTTTTAATTTAGGCACCTAGTTTTTTAATTACTCGCTTTTATTTTATTGATTTGAGACAGAGACATTGATTTGTTGTTCCACTTGTTTACACATTCATTGATTGATTCTTATGTGCCCTGACCAGGGATCAAACCCATAACCTTGATGTATGGGAAGGACACTCTAACCAACTGAGCTACCCAGCCAGGGCTGAACTGCTCACTTTTTTGGTGTCTTATGTTTTAAAATTTCGCACAGCAAGTTATAAGCAGGCAAAACTTTATTATCAAAAATGGTCCTACTTACAAATGTTCCTTAAGACTAACTTTCTCTTTTTTCCTTTTAAATATAGATAAATGCGGAGGGGACACCAGAGGAAGTTTTTCTTCAACTCTGCACAGCTATTGACTCTATTTTCTGAAGACAAAATGCATGTATGTTAAGGAGAGTGAAGACAGAGAAATATATTAAAAGGTCTATACCTTAATTACGTTTCAGGTTAAACCTTTTGTGTCCCCTTCCAATCCCAACATTGCTGTTTGCTCCCCAGCTTGGCCCATCGGAGGCGTCTGGAAACCATGCATGGTGTATTTGCTATCACCCAGCCTCTTCGTGATCCAGACAGCTGTCCACTCACAGCACGCACACCTTCCTATCATACAGGCTGCACCTCAGAGCAGAGTTCATGGACAGCAGTGCAGTGCCAGTCTGTCAGCTGTGCCCTCAGGACTTGTTAGAGTCTGATCATTTGGTTCTCCTCTCATCAAATAGGGAGTTAGCACCCCTAAATTCCCCACTGTATCTTCCTCCCCCCAAGTTGCCTGATGAAGTCCCTGAATTTGAGGGGGGGAAGGAGGTTTGCAAGCTGGGGCATCTTCCTCTGGTAACTGTAGCTCAGAGCCAGAGAGATTAGGTTGACATGCCAATTATTAGAAATCTGATTCAATTTGAAAAACATAAAAAATGTGAAACTGTACAATTTTTCCAAGACAGCGAAACCCAGACTAGTCACCAATAACATGTCTCTACTCATTTTTATGAAACTGGCTACTTGGAATACTGTCACAGTGGCGAAGAGCACTAACTGGAGAAAACTGGCCTCTCCTGTACCTGGTGGTGCATTCTGGCAATCATACATTAATACCAATGACTAAACGTAATTTAAAAGCGTGAGGTGGTTTATTATTGCATCCACTGGACTAATGTCAACTTACAGTTTTGATTTTAAATGATCACCTATTTATTTAATACTGTTGCCAAACAAGTAAGAATTACAGTAACAGTAATAAAACTGATGTGGGTGGGAGGAGCATGTCAGCACACAATGTTTAACAGATCTCGATGCTATATTTGTTTCAGAATGGCCTTTTTGAGGGGTTTGCCAACCTTATCATACCCAAATGTAAAATTGTTTCCTCGCATCAAACCAGTGAAGTTTGGGTTCTCTGTTGTGTTATTGTTGCCAGAATCAGAGCTTCTCATGCAGTCTACTGGAATAAATGCACCTTCTTCTACCAGTGGTTCTCAACCTTCCTAATGCCGCGACCCTTTAATACAGTTCCTCATGTTGTGGTGACCCCCAACCATAAAATTATTTTCGTTGCTACTTCATAACTGTAATTTTGCTACTGTTATGAATCGTAATGTAAATATCTGATATGCAGGATGTATTTTCATTGTTCGCGACCCACAGGTTGAGAACCGCTGCAAGTCAGTCACGACCAAAAGACCCTGGTTTCAATTTGCATGATTTTTTTTCCTCTTCGATGGTTGTGCCAATAAGAATCCATTTCTGGGGCAAAGCTGTATTTTTAAAGTCGTCTTTTTTTTTTTTTTTTGAAATGGATATGTACAAATAAAGTAAATGGAACACAGGATAACACTTTTTTTTCTATTTATTTGCAACTCGCGTCATTCTGGAAAGCATTTGAAGCCTTATTCAACAGAATTAGCAGCAAACACAGTAAGAGCTGAGATGTATGATATGCTCATATGATTTTCATTTTGGCCATAGATCAGCTTTGAGCAATTACAGAAAGAACTCTCAGTATATTCACGATACATGGTAATTTTCGTTATTTCCTTTTGCTCTAGCAGTCATTCTTAAACAGAAATGTCAGTGTTTGCTAAAGAAGAAATCCAATTTCTTTGGTTACAATTATGCCTCTATTAACACAAAGAGGGGCCTGTTCCTTCCACTCACACAGTTGTCAAATACTTTAATACTACCCCAAGCTGCCACACACTTGATAGGGGAGCACACGGAGTATTTGAGCAAATTAGAAAAAGACAGTCACAGGGTGAAAATGATCAGTTGTGCCAGAACACACAAAATGACTCTTTGTAGGGAGGAACATTCTTTAAACACGTACCGCGGTGTTGGCAAACGCAGTCCACGCCCACCACAGCTCTGGCAGCCTGGGGAGGGGAGAGGGAGGGAGGCAACAGGGCAGCGGACTGCAAGTCAGCAGGGTACATGGCTTTGCCCCTGAAGAGTACCTAGAGGTGCAAATCAAGTCTCCTGCAGAGCTACAAAACACACTACTGATCTGCATGGCCTTTAAGTCATAGGATTTGAAAGCAGGAAAGGACAGTGGAGATCTCTGCCTAGTAGGAGAGCCTGTGTGTACGCAGAAAACCTCAGAAACACGGTCCAACTCCTTTACAATGGCCGGCATGCCGGCGTCACCTCATCTGGCCCCGTGCCTCTCAACCCGCCAATCACCTCTCCCCCCTTGCTCGCTTGGCCAAATCTAAAGCCCACTTAATATTGCCTAGACAAGCCAAGCTCTACTGGCAGGGCCTTGTTGCCATCCTCCTGCCTGTCCCTCCACAACATCTGCAGGGCCAATTCCCTCGCCCCATGAGGTGTCTGTTCCAGCCTTCCCTTGTCATTGAGGCGCTTTTTCACTAGTCCATCTAAAATGACAGAATGGTCCCCATTCTTCCACGGTTTTTCTTCAAACATTATTTTTCTTCACAGCATTTATATCTGCCTGGAACCATACTTTTTATTGCTGGTCTTCTGCATTAGACCGATAAGCTCTGTGACAGCAAGCTTTGTATCCTCAGTCCCGCACAAAGCAGTGATTATTGAAGGCTGACATTTAATCCTCTAAACCTGCGGTTTCTCAACTACACAGTAGATATCATAAAATTAGCGACCACACAGAGGTGTTAAGAGGATTGAACAGCTTAAAAATACATGTAAGTTACTTACTAGTTCCCAGTGCTCAATACAAGGTGGTTCTCTGGCAACAGTTACCGAGGGCCTCACTTCCACAATTGGGCCTCGTACCCGGAATTCCACTCTAGTGCCCCTTCTGTTACATCAGTCTAAAGCCATGGCTGAGATGAAGATACATGCCTAACTGGGCCCCAAAGAGGACCAAAGTCTTCTCAGCCACCAAGGTAACATCCTCCACATAAGACAGGACACAATTCCTCAGTCCCCTCAGAGCCCAGTAAAGATCTCCCCAGGCAAGTCCTCCACGGTGCCACACTGCTCAGACATAGGGGGCGTCTCTTAGAGAAAAAATGTAGCTCACTAAAACATGGGTCATATTATCAAAAATATTTATTGAGAATCTAAGAACCAGACCAAGGAATAGACAGACATGGATGGTCTCTGTCCTCACAGAGCTAAATGTAGAACCACTGTCAAAAACCCACTGAATGAGCTGCATGAACTGTGAAGAAAAAAATGTAATCCTTTTTGTGGGCTCATTCAACAGAAGCGTATGTTTCACCCAGTGAGAAATAACAACAGCCCCGGCCGGTGTGGCTCAGTTGGTTGGGTGCTGTCCCGACACTGAAAGGTTGTGTTCAACTCCCCATTAGGGCACATGCATGGGTTTCGGGCTCGATCCCTGGTAGGGGGCGTGCAGGAGGCAGTCGATGGATGTTCTGCTCTCACACTGATGTCTTCTCTCTCTCTCCCCCTCTCCTTTCCTCTTTCTGAAAATCAATAAAAATATTTTTTAAAAAGATATAAAAATAAGTACTTTACAGCCTAAAAGGACAATGCCTCCATAAACTTGTGTGCACCTAGAACAATGGTCTTCCAACTTTGCTATCCACAGTAAAAAATAACTTATGTAGCATGCTATGTTATATCTATAACTAAAAAAGACATTTCACAAAATGCTTATCTACTATACGTAATGTACTATTTTCTCTATTTCTTTCTTTTTTTAAAGGTTCCTCAAACTTCAGTAAATTATGTTCAGAAATGGACAAGGCATACTATTAGGTTAAGCAAGAGGCGCCAAACATGCATGGAAACAAATGCTGCCTGAGGCAGGAGACGCCAAGTCCTAATCCCAACTTTGTCAGCGGTTCTCAACCTGTGGGTCGCAGCCCCTTTGGTGGTCGAACGACCCTTTCACAGGGGTCGCCTAAGACCATCCTGCATATCAGAAATTTACATTATGATTCATAACAGTAGCAACATTACAGTTATGAAGTAGCAATGAAAATAATTTTATGGTTGGGTCACATGAGGAACTGCATTTAAAGGGCCAGAAGGTTGAGAACCACTGGCTTAAATCTTATGGCCATGTTTGCTGCCAAATTGGAATATGTAAATCCTATGTATGTGTGTCTTTCTAATTCATCATGGCAGACCATCTCATCTCAGTGCTTCTGCCTCATCCACAGATAATGCTTCTCCAATCTGTGCTATAAACCTGGATACGTGCTCAGGTTTGTACTGTACTCTAGGAACCATGACACACCAGGAAAAAGACTGAAAAGCAACCCCTGCACATCTCCACCTCCACCACCTCAGTGGCAAACAAAGCAATGAGGCAGACACTGACTCTGGAGCAACCCGTTTATGTTAAAATCCAAGCATCTCACTTTACTCACTGTATGATCTTGGGAAAGTTTATTTAAGCTCTCTGGCTAGATTTCCTCATATGAAAACAGAATAAATGAACCTGCTTCATAAGGTTGTGAAAATTAAAACTGTTACTATATGCTTGCTTGGCACATAGTAAGCACTGTATCAGTGTTTGCTATTATTATTAGTGCACATCACACCAACCAAAACCTCCTCTGCCTAAACCATAATGCACTGGTTTTAGGTGTCACTAAAAGTTCCTTCTGTTCTTATCAAATACTTGAGCACATTATTTCAGGAAACGCTACATCTAACCTACTGATTACTACTTAATAAGCAATGCTTTAACTAGTAGGTCTCTGTTGCCTCTTATAGCCAACACTTCTTTGTAGGAGACGGAAGGCCTATTTGCAAATATGACAGCTCTGCCCATTCTTGCAGTCCTCAAATTAAAGCAGTAACAGCACATTACCACTCCTACTACTGTTCTGGGCCTTTTAAAGCTAAGAGGACTATTTGCTTGGAGCTGAAAAAAATGCAAAACTAATACATCTTTGCTCAAGCAGAAAATAATCCTCTTTGCACTCAAAATTCTCAAAAATATTTCCCCTTGAAAAATACATTTAAGTAGCTTTTATTTGTCTACTAGAGGCCTGGTGCACAGGATTTGTGCACTGGTGGGGGGCATGGCCTGCAGGGATCAGCTCATTGTGGGAGCACTGCTCATCCCAGTCAGCTGAGCGGCTATGGACCCACCCTTTGAGCGGCTGCTCCCACTGTGGTAGCAGCTGCTCATCTCGGTCAGCTGAGCAGTGCTCCCACTGTGGGAGCGCACTGACCACCAGGGGGCAGCTCCTGCATTGAGCATCTGCCCCCTGGTGGTCAGTGCACATCATAGCAACTGGTCGACCAGTCGCTGGGCTTTTATTATATAGGATCTGTTGTTTATTCTGTGTACATAACAACTATACCATTCATAGCCCTCTTCCAAAGCATACTTCATACTTTATGGGATTTTTGAATGGTTCTCCAGAACTAATTGGTATTATTTCTATACAAATACAGAATTTACAGAGGTCACCACCCAGGGGTACTGTCTTGCTACAGGTTGATGATAGATCTTCTGGCATATTCACTTAACATCTAGTATCAAAATGCCGAGGAATCTAATGATCCCCCTTTTCTTCTCCCAACTAGTAATTCCAGGGTGAATGTTAAGCTCAACTCCATTTCCTCTCCAATACAATATATTTTATCAACATCATCAGTAATCTTTAATTAATATATTATGTTAAAATTCTCATATTTCTATATTTAAAATTATATTACTTTTCTGAATTAAAAACATTCAGGGTATGGTTTTAGTACCCTACAATGTGTTAAAAGAGGCCTAGTAAATAATGTTCCCTTGATTTAAAATTAGAAAAAACAGGAGACTCTCACAATTGGGTCAGTATAATTCTTAATCTTAGAATATATATACTGTCTTTTCTAACAATCAATAATAATTTCCATGGAATACAGGGTTTTTCAAAAGCCACCTATTTAAATTAAATACATGGGGGCTTATTTTCATCAAAAAGAATGAGTAAAATTTTCCACCTGTTTAGTTTTCATATCTAAATAAAACTGCCTTTTTCTTTAGCCATAGTATGTGTTCTTTTGTACCTAGTTTATTATTTAGTGCTTCGGCACCATCTTTTACAGAGCTTCTCAAGTTCACTTTTGTTTCCATAATAAAGTCCTTACTCTTTTGAAAGGACAGGTAAAGCAAACTCTTGAGGAAAAAAAATCCAAAATCTAACCAAAGGAAGTCACAACAAGCATTCTATAATATAAACAGACAGTATCCACATAGTTTATTTCTCACAGTTCTCCTGACAAGTGAACATTATTCAAGAACATACTGTATACACAGATAAGAAGAAACATACAAAATGTCGTAAATGATGCACAACAAAATCCAGCAGTATAAAAGAATGCATGTGAACCCTTGCTCACTGCGCAGACTAAATTTAATCACTTGTTTAAATAGTAATAAAAATACAATCTTTTATGGATCTTGTGCAGACTACAAAAGAGGGAATTATTACCATATATATGATCTTTATATTAGGCAGTTTTCTTTGATGAGTTGTACTGACAACTCCAAATACAGAGGCAGAGGCTGTGTATTTTAAAGGAATTAATGTTGTGAATTAAAGACTTTACACAGTTACTACCACTGGCACTTTTCACCATAGTTTGTACACATCACATGATCATCTTATATAACATTACATTTAAAAAATATATCTGAGTGACCATTTTATAACATTCACACACCATGAGCTGGTTAAGGAAGCGATGTGGCAGCTGCCTCCTGTAGTGCTTCGTGTTGGTAAGGACAGTTCATTGTGGTTAAAAGAAATTAGACATCAATATGGTTAAGCAGCTCCAATTTACTAACGGCCGTCAGGGGCCACCACTGGGGCGGGGAGTTCTTTTAAAGTGTATATTCTAGAAGCAAACACCTTCATTGGTTAAAACTTTGTCTACAGAAGTCAGTTTCTGTGCTGAAGACTATTTTCACAAAACTGAAAGCTACTAAACTGTTTTAATATAAATACTTCGTCTTCTCATTACCGTATTTATGACCAAGTTCTTCGAAACCTTTGGAATTGACTCACGTTTTAATGTGTGCTCTCATTTCCATCTCACCTATTTAAGTGCCACCTCAGAGACTGGAAGGTGGGGGTGAGAGACTCACCAAGGAAACCCTTTGCTCACCAGGAATGTTCAGCTGCTGAGCAGCGATCTGGAGCCACACGGTGCAGAGCTGGACTGGACGAGAACACTCAGGAAGCTGTCATGCTGTGAGTGTCATTCAGGGAAAGCAGAGAACCTTTCCAAACTGTGCACATAACTCACAATGAGACCATTGCTATGTGTTGAAGAGGACTAGTATACGGTGTTCTCTCCCATGTCATCTGTTGGCTGGAAAGTAGTTTGGGTCAAGGTAATTATAACTGGTGCCCTGGGACACACAGTAGTCTCTGTCTAAAAATGTCTCTGACCTATACACAGGTTCTAACTGGTGATCTTCTTTGTGAATATCTGTTTCATGTAGGCTGTAAAGAAAAACACACACGCACACACATTATTACATGGCAGTGAATGCATTTTAATCTAGATATTACAGAACTTCCTCACAGCTTGACCGGGTTATACCCATTAATCTATCCAAATCTCTAATGGAAAGTTATACTTGAGAAATATAATAATTAAGGGAAACTTCTTTATTGCCTTAGAACAATAAAATTTCATCCACCAGATGTGGTGACTTTCTAAGTCAGCGGTTCTCAACCTGTGGGTCGCGACCCCTTTGGTGGTCGAACGACCCTTTCACAGGGGTCGCCTAAGACCATCCTGTATATCAGATATTTACATTACGATTCATAACAGTAGCAACATTACAGTTATGAAGTAGCAACGAAAATAATTTTATGGTTGGGTCACAACATGAGGAACTGTATTTAAAAGGCCAAAAGGTTGAGAACCACTGTTCTAAGTAGTCTGGAAAGCAAATTCACTAGTTGCTGAAAGCTCTTGTCAAAATTGAAGATGTACAATGTAGAAAACACTTACCAGTCTGAACAAGAATCACAGAAATCCAAAGACATTTCTGAAGGACAATCCTGGCAATGCCACCGAACACCCTGGATAGGCTCTATGCCACAGTTATCACACTGTCAGAGATTCAGAGAGAAAAGGCATTAAACTACATTGTTCCAAAACCTTTTCTCTGCTGGAAAAACACATGGTATGCACACAGACATCTCCTCCCCTCTCCCCACGCACTGGACAGCGGTACAATTTCTAGCACTAACTGAAATCCCACCCATTTAAGACCAAGTATAGGTGGGCAAGAGGAACATTATAAGAAACTAACTTTAATATGTTTTAATTTATTTTTTAAAATTTTAAGTAAACTACCTACAAACTTGGCTGTGTGATTAGTAATTATTCATCACCAGGGTACAATGACTGTGATCACGAACCACTCCCTTAACCCTGCGGTTAAACTTTACAAATATGTTACAGAACTATTTAACACACTATCGGACCTAAATTACCAGGCAAACTCAAAATCCTCTCCGACTCTTATTTTACTGAATTCCTCTCCAAGCCCGAAGGCTCCTATGACCAATAACCATCTGAAGGGAAGGAAGACCAGGCTCCTTCTCCATGTGGTGGACGTGGAAGCCCTCAGTGAGAAATCAAAGTAAATCTCATTTCTAGTTTCTTTGATCATCAGGCCACCCAGAATGGCTGACAGCCAACAAGCCACAACTGGGTCTTGCAGCAAAATTATGAGAAGTGAAAAGTTCCCTCTGAAAGGTTAGAGCTGTCAATTTGGAAAATCCCTAAAAGAAAAAGCAGGGTCACTGAAGGATCAAGAGGAAAAGTCTTTTTACACAGCCTGGCTAATGGCCAGGCCAGAAACCCAGAGGTATAAAAATTTTGTTTTAAATTTCAGTGTGTCAGTCACAGCATACATCAGTATTTTCATGTAGACCACTACAGCAAGTCAATAGTTCATGGTCTCATCACTTCTTCCAATCCCATCAAGTACAGTCAATTCTAATGCCTCAAGTGTTCTCAAATCTGTCAATCTCTATTCCACAGCCACCAGGCAAATTCAAGAAATTCTCATCTTTTGTCTAAATTACCAAAAGAAAAATCCCCAACCCAGTCCCCCTGCCTCCAGCCTTCCTTTCTTCATACCCATTCTCCATACTAAGAACAGAATGATCTTTTTCTCCTTCACTTAATTTTTTCCAATTACATAAATACATTATTGTTAAAAAAATTAACAACACAGTATTCAGAAATTAAGAGTTATCCACTCTAAACCCGCCTTTGTAAAGATGACCAAAAACCTTTCTGAAATGCAAATTTCATATTACTTTCGGCTGAAAATGCTTCAGTGGTTCCACAATCCTTTAGGACAATTTAAATTCCTTACCAAGATTTCCAAGGCACCTCAATAGCCTCTCACTGTTCTCCAATATGCAACCTAGTCATACTCAACCATTTTACTTTTTTAACTTCTCTAAATTCCTCGAGATGAAAACAGAGTAAGGACAGAAACTGAGTCTATCTTATTTACTGTTGAATCTCTAGCACTTAGCCTAGTGCCTGAAACATAATTGGGTATTTCAAAATTCTGTGGAATGCTAAATGTATTTCTACTAGCTTCTGAAAAAGTAGCAAAGATAATTAAATGTGAAAGAAAACAAATTTCTGATTCATGAACAGCAGCAAAAAAAGAGAAACAGTTCCATGGGTGCATGGATAAAGAAAATGTCACACACACACACACACACACACACACACACACACACACACTGGAGTATTGTTCAGTCATAACGCAGAAGAAAATTCTGTCATTTGTGACAACATGGATTAAACATTATGCATACTGAAATAAGCCAGACAGTGAAAGACAAATGCTGTATGATCTCACTGATAGGTGGAAACTTAAAACAGTCAAACTCAGAGAAGAAGAGAGTAGAACAGGGATGGGGGATGGGAATAGGAAAAATGGTACAATGTTGGTGAAAGGGCACAAACTTTCAATTATAAGACAAGTAAGTTCTGAAAAGCTAATATACAGCCTTGTGACTATAGTTAATAATTTTAAAATATGCAGTACTCAAAATTGCTAAGAGAGTATATCTTGTGTGTCATCGCCACACACAAAAAATGGTAACTGTGTGAGATGATACGACTTTTATTTATCAATTATATCTCAGTAAAACTGGAAGGTAAAAAAGAGAAATAGGTAGACAAAAACTTATTTCACATTTTACCTCAAAGTACAGAAACCTGTATGTTTGCCTTTGGCACACTACTTTGTGTAAATGAACAGGTTGAGAACTAAACTTACTAACTTTTACCTGTATGCTTGGAATTTGTGGCGTTTAAAACTCCGAAACCATCTTAAATATCTCTTATTACCCTTTCAAAAATTAAACAAATAGTAAGATTAAGTAGAATTTACCTTGAAGCCCAAGTGTTGTACAAATCCACTTTCAGCTTGCATTTGCTGAAGTTTCTGCTTCTTTAACTTTTTAAACTGTAATAGTTCCTTATATTCAGGTAAATTCCTATACATAATAGGAATACTTTCCTCATCCTATTGAAATCACAAAACATAAAACAAAAAAATGTTAGTCTGATAATTAAAATAATTGTAAGAAATAGTGATATATTTTCTATCAAGATTTTTCACTTTTAGGATACCTTTCCTTTTAGAAAACTAGCAGTACAGAAAATAGTGTTGCTATTAGCAATATTTCAGACTAAAACTTTCAGAGGGCTCCTTAATGCATACTACTGAACTGTAGTGTGCCACCTCATATGTAGGTACCAGGGGAGCAGGGCATGACTGCTACCCGTCACACACTAATGCAGGCGCCACATCCCGACACATTGGTGGCTACTTGACAGCCCAGATAATCTACTTCTCCCTGATCAGCGGAAGCTCCTCTTCTTCAATCTAACAGATTTTATGCTTCCTCTGGTAAATATGACATTTTCTTAACAGCAAGCAAACCAATCTCTGCTTTGCTTTCTGCTCTCTACTCCCAATGATCAAGGCAGTACATTCATCTCTTACTCAAGGGGATGAAATAAGGTACAAAGATGATTACTTAAAATAGAGTATAAAAGAAATGAGTAATAAAAACTATATAAAATATGAAGTTGAAGTTGATAAGTGAGTCAGTGCTTCTTATCTTCCCAATTTATTTGGGCTCTGTCACCCAGAGCCCATTTCTTTCCTTTGCTACCTCATGACTGATCCATGGTCACTAATTTCCACACGTGCCTAAAAGCATACCCAATTCACCAATACGCGCCATGTTTCATCAATTCCCGGTCCTGGACCAGGCAACCCTTGTCCCTCTCTTCCCTCCTTCTCTCCATGTTAGGAGGTATTATTAAACTACAATGTGTATTTTACAACAAGGAAATTGGCTTTTATAGAAATTATAACAGTAGCCCATGATCAAATAGCTTTGCAGAGTCTGATGAATTTGAACACGATTTGTCTGATTCTTTAATTCCCTACATATTCAGCAGCCAAAGCCTACATAAAAGAGTTACCCTTAATTTTTCACTGTCTCATATCTAATCTAACAAATCTTGTCACTACTTAACACTTTCTAATCTCTCTCTCAAATTGGTCCTCTATAGTACCCACTCCTTTCTCTATCCCCACCATTACTTAACATCTCTGAAATGGCTTCCTGACTGTCTACAGCATCAGGTCCAAAGTATGTAGCTGGATAAAAGATTCTCTACAGTCTCACACTTCATCTACCTTATCTCCCACTATCTTTCATCCATTTCAAATTCTTGTCAAAGATATTAAAATAGCTACTGCCTTCCTATGTCACCACTAAGACAACATAAGTAATCTACTAAATAAGTAACACTAATAAATATGATATGACCTAAATAATGTAGTGAGAAATTTTATGACAAAATTTATTGAATGCAGATGTTTTAAACAAATACAAAGAGTACAAACACTGCTAAATATATGTGAGGGGGTGTGTGTGTGTTCGTGTGCATTATGGAATATTATTCAGCCTTAAAAAAGAAAATTATGACATATTACAAGATAAATGAACCTTGAAGACATTATGCTAAGTGATATAAGATCTCCACCTGTGAAACTGTTCAATTTATGAATTAAACTTTATCACAGGTATGCACATACAAACAAACAGTGTTTATAGGGTTTGGAGCTATCCGTGGTTTCAGGCACCCACTGGGGGAAGAAGGGATGTCTTAGAATACAGTGGGGCCTTGACTTACAAGGGTCCCGACTAACGAGTTTTTCGAGATACGAGCCGTCTCTCGGCCGATTTTTTGCTTTGAGTTGTGAGCTAAAATTCGGGTTACGAGCCAGCTTCAGATACCCCACCGCTAGTTGGTGCAGCGAACGTCATAGTGAATGCCACAACATCAGCCCAGCATCACGTCTCACTCGTTCACTTTTTGATTTGACATACGAGTAATTTGAGTTACGAACTCCGTCACGGAACAAATTAAACTCGTAAGTCAAGGCCCCACTGTATATCCTCTGAGGATAAGAGGGGACAGGGGATGGCTATTTTAAAATAATCAGGATGATTTGAACTGGTGCTCATATAAAAATAAATAAAATCAACCAAACAAAGTTAAGCCTACTATAAAAATGTGTGCACTCGGGGGGGGGGGGGGTCCCCTCAGCCAGCCTGTGCCCTCTCACAGTCTGGGACCCCTCGGGAGATGACCACCTGCTGGCTTAGGCCCGCTCCCCGGGGGATTGGGCCTAAGCTGGCAATCAGACATCCCTCTGGCAGCCCAGCAGCCCTCGGGGGATGTCCACTTGCCAGCAGGGAGCAGGCCTAGCTGCAGTCGGACATCCTTAGCACTGCTGAGGAGGTGGGAAAGGCTCCCACCACCACCGCTGTACTGGCAGCCGTCAGCCTGGCTTGTGGCTGAGCAGAGCTCCCCATGTGAGAGCGCCCTGACCACCAGAGGGCAGCTCCTGCATTGAGCATCTGCCCCCTGGTGGTCAGTGTGTGTCATAGTGACCAGTCATTCCCAGTCATTCTGCTGTTCGAGTCAGTTTGCATATTACCCTTTTATTATATAGGATAGAGGCCTGGTGCATGGGTGGGGGCCGGCTGGTTTGCCCTGAAGGGTGTCCCGGATCAGGGTGGGGGTCCCCCTGGGGTGCCTGGCCAGCTTGGGTGAGGAGCTGATAGCTGTTTGCAGGCTGGTCACACCCCCTTCAAGGTGGGGGTCCCCACTGGGGTGCCTGGCCAGCCTGGGTGAGGGGTTGACAGCTGTTTGCAGGTTGGCCACACCGCATTTAGGGTGGGGGGGGTCCCCACTGGGGTGCCTGGCCA